AATTATTTTAAAACAAAAATACTATTTTACTACATGTATTCAAATTATAAAACAAAGGCCCTTAAATAAAAAAATATTAAGGATTCATTCTTCATTTAACAATTATTATATCATATTATAAAATATATTTAATAAATTAACACTTAAAAAAAGACTTTAAAAATATTTAAATAATTTAACAAACATTAATATCAAGACGTACTGATAGTGAAGAATTACATATAGGGATAATATGCAGTTGTAGCTCAAAATGATAGCTCAATATGAAATATTGAAGGGCGCTCAATGTAATAAATAATAAAGTGTAATTTTTTTATTAATTCAAAATGCTTTTTTGGTTAAATATTTAAAATGCTTTGATGTGATAATCATTGTAAGTAATTTAATGATGATTTTTTTAATAAAATAAAATGTTTTTACTTGAAATTATATAATATATGTAGTTGAGATGAATTAAAATATGAAAAATGTGAATTTAAATATTTATATTTAATAATTTATTTTTAAATTTTAATGTTTAGTTAAATTGATCGAGAGTTCAAGTTTTATTATCAATTTGAAAAAAAAAAATTCATTTACCAAAGTTTCCCGTGTTAAAAGAAAAAGAAAAAAGAAAAAGGGACGAGTAACGCGTTGTCCCCCTATTGTGAAAATGCTTCTAAAGTGAACGGGTTGTTTAATGTGAACTTCCGATTTCACATTGGTGATGGGAGCATTCTAACTTGGACTTGGTTTTTGATGTGAACTTTGGGCACCAGATAGGAGCTCGTTCTTTAAGTAGGGACAAACACATCCATTTTCATAAAAGCTCTAATTATTTAGGGGAAATTGATTTCGATTGTTGAGACTGACATTATGATTCAAACTTTTTTCTCACGCAAGACACGGTGTCAAAGATGGTCAGAATGGGAAACCAAAAAAAAGATGGTCAGAATGAACAGTGTTAAAATCCCTGTGGGCTGTGGGTAAAGAAAACAATATTAAATCCCTGTGGGCTGTGGGTAAAGAAAACAATATTAAATCATATGAGGAAAACAATGTCAAACCCCTAAAGCCCAGGCCTGCATGATGTGCATTACACCAAGCAAAGTAGCAAACAACAGCAAACAGGCCTGGAAATGATTCGCTATGTAGACCAAAACCCCGAACTCAAACCTGTAGATAGACAAAGGATCTATTTTAATTTTTAAAGATCGACACCAAACCCAACTGGTGAAATTAGTTTGAGTTCCCATTTTAACTTTAAAAAAACCGAGTTCTGAAGCTACATTGATAGGCGTGGCGTGGTGCTCTCTGACCCAGTCCTTGCATTCTTTAATATTCAACATGGGTTTTAGACCAACATACATGTCTGAACACTCCTCAGAAGATCAAAATGATATCATCCCAATTGAAAATTTGAAACAAAAAGTTCTGTGGACGGCGTGGTATTACTTCCGGAGTTCCGGTCTCCCCTAATGAACATTCACAGAAGACTCGGTGGTTCCAAGAAATTTCATTTGATAGCCATATGATTCCCAAGTCCACACAAGATTACAACTTCCTTATCGCATTTTCGTTGTATTCAATGAAAAGCAATCCTGAAAAATGATGTCCAAGCTTAAAACAGACGTAAGAAGAGCAGAGATTTTAATATGCAAGAAAAGTATTCGGAGGAAAGGTAAATAGGGACACCCAGCTTGAAGTAATTTTCTCATGCGTA